CTGAATTGACTTGTATTTTCTTTTATAAGCTGAATGCCCAGTCTCTGTATTTGCTTAGGTTTTCTATAACATTTTCCTATAGGATGAGAGATTCTCTCTCTCTCTCTTTCCATTACATTGTTGTCCGAGAAATATATAAGATTTGAGGCAGCAGTGATGCTGAATTGACTTTTCCTTTCTTTTATAAGCTGAATGCCCAGTCTGTGTATTTGCTTAGGTTTTTCAGAACATTTTCCTATAAACTTTTTGGATGAGAAATTGTCTCTCTCTCTCTCTCTAAATGTCATAAGACAGCCTTCATGCAATTGAACTGCTATGTTGGGATAAATGTCTCACATCCTGGCAAGATATTGATATGTAGATAAACTTCAACATCTGACACAGGCACAAGCCTTCCACTTTCTTCCACCCCACTTCGCATGTTAATTGAATCTCTCTCTCTCTCTCTCTGAGAAATCACTTTGCCAACTCTACAGCCTGCTGTTCTTGCATGCAGTGACAAACCGAGTTGGTGAATTCAATCTTGGCCTCCTCCCATATAACAACAAGAAGCTATTTGGTATCCAAAGCTGAAGCGGAAGCCACTGCACATGGATGAGACTCGGGAGGGATGCGCGACTCGAGCTAACGTGGCAGGGGGTGGGAGTTATGGACATGGAGTAGAAGACAGCGGCGCGACTGTTCCCAGGAGACCGCCCTAATAAATGCCCGCCTTGAAGAATCCAAGGCGGCCAAGCGAGGGAACGGTCGAGATCCTCGCAGTCGGCGATCCACTTCTAATGGACGAGTAGGATTCGTCGATCCACCCCGTTCCGTCGTCTTCTTCATGCTTAACGGCGGGGTTGCGGGCGCGGGTGGCGGTGCTTTGCCCCTGTCCTCTGCGACTATTTACGGCAGCGCCACCGCGGGTTCGCCATTCCCGAGGCGAGCCATGGCCAGCGGACGCAGAAGAATCTCTGGGAAACCCACCCGCACACGCTTCCCCTCACGGCGAAGACCGCATCGCCTGCTTTCGCCCCTCGACACCGAGCCTATTTACCTGTCTGCCACCCCCATCATCGCTCTGCCACGCCTGTTTCTGCCTGGTTTGGTTGTTTCTGCTGCCATGATCAGACAGGGCTCAGGTGTCAGACCGCTGTTTCTTGAGAAAGCAATGGGCTGCCTTCTCCTTCCCCGGAGGACTCCTAGGTGAGTTCTTTTGCTCGGTTGGTGATGGGCTAGCTTTGTTTCAGTACCGTGGAAAATGGAGGGCTTTTGGGGGATTTTGTCGTCTGCTTCCGAGCCGTTGTGCTTTCAGGAGAAACGAAATGGTGAGAGACTGAGAGTACAGTCCTATATTGTGTTTCTACCCTTTCCCTGTTTTTTGAAGCTTTTGAACGTGTTACAGTAAAAGATGTGGGTTTCTTTTTCTTCCCTTGGTTTCGTGATGTTTGATGAGGTTTGTTGACTTGTTTGTCTGCTTTATTTGCCATTTTATGTTGCATGTGTTGGAATGGTGATCTATCAGCATTAGCTGTGTGAATAGCTTCTGATCTTTGTTATCGATCTAGGAAAGTTAAGTGTCACTGCAGTCATTTTTTTCCCCTAACATGTTAAAGTTGCTTGACTTGCATCTCAGTAAACCAGTCAATATGTTCATACTGTTTATGATACTTGTCATTGGAGATCTTAAGATCTTCTTTAGCCTTATGTGTTGTTGTTTGCTGTTTTAAGTGTTGCTTGTTGGAATGCGGCAGTTGGTAGGTACTTTTACTTCGTTATCTTGTTTGATTTGGTCTACATTGATGCCTTCTTTGGAGTTTTTGAGTGGATGAACTTAATCTCTCTTGCTAAGTTGATGTGGTTGCTGAATCCTTGTCATGCAGGAATGGAACAGGAAGAGTAACATCTTCTTTTTATTCCCTCGAGTTAATTGGTTAGATTGACGGGGTCGACAATATGACTGAGGCTCCACGGCATTCCGTGGACATTCCTCTTTCAAAAACTCTAGTGGCACTAAAGAGAGTCAGATCACTGAGGGATCCATCGACCAACTCGATGAGCAAATTTACTGCAGTTATAGAGCACATGAACATTGGGGCCAATTCTTTGAATGTTCCTTTTGAGATGAACGATTCGAATAAACACCATGTTCTCCAGTCAGGAAAGTATCATCTGAAAGAAGAAATTGAGGATGTCCTAAGCAATTCAGGCTCAAATTTTAGTTCTAGAATACCTAATCCGAAGAGCACTTTCCCTGAGAAGAGTTGTGCGGTGAAAGTTCGAGGATCTAAACCGACAAGAACCAAACTAGCTCATAAATCGCATCGAGATCGTCCGCGAAAGTCATTGGCTTCGGCAAGAGTTCGGCATTCCACAAGGCATGTTGAAGTGGAAGTAGATTCTTATAAAGCGCCTGAATTTGACTTGGCTGACAGGGTCACTGCAACAGGAAAGAAGCCTTTTTATAGAAATTCGAGGAAACCAGCTTCTGCGGTGAGCCATGCAGGAAGTCCATGTAAGTCGGTCAGTGAAGCTCATACTACCGGTTCAAGACGACCGACCATGGGCTTTGCAACTTTGGATTCACAATCCAAATCCAATGACGTTGTTGGTTCAAATTTCAGTGGTTGTGGAATCAGTTATTGTTGGTCAGGAACACCAAAGTACAGGGGCCGAAATATTTATTCTGATGATGAAGAACAGGAAAAACCTTTGCTATCTGCTGAACAGTCAGAGACGGCTTGTATAAATTCTGCACGGTATCCACAGAGTCCGAGAAGCTTAAGCCAGAAATTTAGGCCAAAATCCTTCAATGAGTTGGTTGGCCTGAATGTAATTTCTCAGTCCCTTTTGCATGCTATAACAAAAGGAAAGATATCTCCATTGTATTTATTTCATGGACCTCATGGCAATGGTAAGACATCAACCGCAAGGGTTTTCGCAGCTGCTTTGAATTGCCTATCCGATGTGGAACATAGGCCATGTGGGTTCTGCCGGGAATGTGTGTTATTATTCTCCGGAAGGAGCAGAAATATCAAAGAGCTTGATGCCGCTAAGATAAACCATAAAGAAAGGTTTAAAGCTCTTCAGAAGAATGCTTCAGTAGTTCCATGTTCGGCTCGCTTTGAGGTCTTCATAATAGAAGAGTGTCAATCCTTGAGAGAGGAGGCATGGGCAACCATTTTTAAAAGCCTTGATGAATTACCTGGACGTGCTGTATATGTTATGATTACCTCTGATCTGGACACATTGCCTCACAGTTATGTGTCAAGGTGCCAAAGGTACCACTTCCCAAAAATAAAGGAAGTTGATATTATCAACAGGTTGCAAAAGATAAGCATAGAAGAGGAATTGGAGTTTGACATGGATGCTCTAGATTTCATTGCTACAAAATCTAATGGTTCTCTTCGAGATGCAGAAACGATGCTTGATCAGCTTGCATTGCTTGGAAAGAGAATCACTGTATCTCTTGCAAATGAGCTTGTGCGTATTCAGTTCTTGTCATGATAATTATTTTTTGGGCTTCTCTGTTTGCAATTGGCATTTGGATGTATTCTCTTCTAAAGTCCTTTGTAATAAATCTTGCATTGTATTCTATTTGATTGCTTCTTTGCAGATAGGAGTTGTTTCTGATGATGAGTTGCTCAATTTGCTGGATTTGGCACTGTCGTCTGACACTGCTAACACAGTTAGAAGAGCTAGAGAGCTTATGGTATCGAGGGTTGATCCTTTGCAGTTAGTATCACAGCTTGCTAATGTAATAATGGACATCCTTGCTGGAAGATCAGGATTTTCTGAACTAGGTAGAAGTTTCATACAGAGGCATGCTGGTACGTTACATATGCCATTTGCCCTACTAATGTACTACCCAAATCATCATAACTAACACAATACCGATGATTTTCACCTGGAATAAAAAATCTCAAATTGTTTGATGTAATTATGAGCTTTTGTTCTTTATTACCAAATTGGCAACGGACTTTAACTCTTCCTTCTCCATATTATATGTATTGAATGGTGTAGATCTTATTATAACAAGGTAATTGCATTAATTTGTGTATTATGGGGCAAACTCTTACTTGAATGTCACATAAGGTTCTCAATAACTTCATGTTTATTCGTCCCCAAATATTTCATAATGCAAATTGAAAGAAAAAGCAAATTAGATATCAGCTATAACAATTTTGTCCTCAATATGTGAGTGGTCATAGATTATAACTCACAATTAATACTGTAGAAGTCTTGGAAAAACTTTTCGTCTTAAATTGGTCCAAGTTAATAATTGAAGCAAAATTATACCAGAGAGGGACTTGTCCAAGGACCTCAAAGGATATTAGACAAAAGGAAAGTCTACCTTATGGTCTCTCTTAAGCTAATTCAATTATAGGACAACCTTCCAAAAATTCCTTCAAAAGAATCTAGCAGGCCAAATTAGGAGCTTCGATACAGGAAGCAATCATTTTGCAATTGACAAATAAGCAAATGAGCCAATTCTCCTACAACACATGCTTATATGTGTATATTCTCAGATTTTCAGTCAGGTCACATATCAACACTTTAAAGCTACATATATCAAGATAAATTTTATATGCTATGTTTAAGAATTCCCTTTCTTGGAGACCTTCTCAAAATATAAAGCTGTGTAATTGCTACTGGTTTGTTTGTACTGATTTAGTTGGAAAGTCACTTTAAATTGTTGGCGTAGGCTGCAAAAAAGTGTATTAGAATGTTAAGAATGTGAACTCGGTATCTAATTGTATTAGATACTTCAAACACATAATTGAGTGGCTTGATCAATTGGTAAATCATGCTCTGTTTGAGATCATGCTTAGTCACATGCTGTGATATCCAGCTTTTTGTAGGTTCTCTCTTTGAAAATTGGTGAGGTCACAGAGATACACTAGTGAATTTCAGGGTCTAGTGGGCCATAGGAGCATGAAAATTCCTTTACAGTTGACTATAATGTCCACTTCATTTCCTTTTTTTCTGGTTGGAGCCCCATTCCTATGCTGTTTGTTACCAGGTAAATTTGCCTTGCCTGTCACTGTTTCCATTTATTAGATGGAAATCAGGCTTTTCTATCATATTACTGAAAGCTGTACTACCTGTTATATCCTCGTTATGATAACGTAAACATGAGAACTGCTCGAGAGTCATGGTTGATAGCCGTTTTCTATCAGGACAATTTTTAATCAAATTATCAGGCAGTTATCCTAAATTGTTTGGCAATGTGTAATTGTTTCATCTATCCTATCGAGTTGTTGATGATAGTTGCAAAAAAATTAAAGCATAGGATATATCACTTTGTAAATTCTGTCATAAAACTCCTCTGCGTGAAATTGCCATAACGTAACACTTAACTGTTATGATTGATTCTGATGTTTCTACGTGATATATTGGCAATGAAATGCTTATTCTAACCTCAGTTGAAAACTCTGAAGAGTGAATTCACTTCAAGAAACAGATATGCTACTTACCTCTTCCTTGAATTGTTACTGCATTCATTGTTCTATGTTTTTTTCTTCAGTTAGGTCCTGATGCTAGTTCTTTTTCTGATTTCCTCCTCGCAGCAGCTGACATTGGCATGCAGAAACTGAGGCATGCCTTGAAAGTTCTTTCTGAAACTGAAAAACAATTGAGGTCATCAAAGAATCAGGCAACATGGCTCACTGTTGCTCTTTTACAGTTAAGTGCAGTAGAATCTTCTCCTTTAACAGAAATCAACAGCTCTCATGCATGTACAGAAATGACCTACTTGAGAGGTAATTACGTAAGAGGTACTGCAAGTTTATTTTATTAACAGAATCAAAATGTTTTGCTTCTTAATTTCTATATTGTGCTTAGTTCTAAATGGAATTAAGCTAAAAACTGACAATAAAAGTGTCTTAAATTCTAACAAATAATGAATGGTAGTTGTAAAAAGTGATTTACTTTGAAAGAAATTTATCTTTGGAATACAGATGATGGTATATTAAGCACAACCAAGGCTTGGGAAGGTATCAGGAGCTCTGTTTGTTATACTTGCAGTGAGAACAAGCCAGGTTGTTCGGATAGAAACTGCAACAGAAAAAAATTGGAAAGCATCTGGCAAAAAGTCACACAACGATGTCAATCAAATTCTTTCAGAAGCTTTCTGCAACAAGAGGGTTGCTTATCAGCTGTTTATACTCATGAAGGTATAGTAGGAATATCTTCCGCATAGTTTGCATCTTAAAGTATATTAGTCATGGTTTACACACTTGACTGGTCCATTCAGGAATAGACACCACTTTGGCATTCTTGGGTTTAAAATTCATCCTTCCTGTTGCATTGGCCCTATCGGCACTCCACAAGTTGGACTCCTGCCAGACTCTTTTCTTATGACATTCCAATACCAAATTACATAACAGCACAAGAATTGGACCTCTTTACTATTCCAAGTCTTAAGAACTTAATGTCCAGCAGATCATATTTTCACAATATTACAACGTAAACATAATATTACTTAATTTTAATTATTATTTTTCCTTGTGACCCTATATCTTCATTTGATCCCCTTGCCAAACTGGAACTAGGATGTACATCATTTCAGATTCTTGTCTGAACATTCAACATTGACATATACACGTTAGAGCCAATTCTGTGCTTCTGTACAACTGTCAATGGCTTATTTCTTGTTAGCTGTGGCCTACATAGATTCAGTTACGTGCATAAAGTTTAGAATTCAGCATTGCAAAACAAAGAGAGACGAAGCATGGATGTCTTTTGACATTTGATTGGGAATTTAATCTTTCCTTGTGCTGTTTAATCTCTCTAGTCCTAAAACTTTTGGATTGCTCTAAGCAAAACGGAATTCTTCCTTTTATATAATATTTTACTCTTTACCTTGCCAGATATTCATCTTATATTTTTTCGGTTGATGAGAATTGTGTAACACATGAAGGTAAAAATTTCAGGTGTAGCAGTGGCAGAAGTGGAATTTTATCGTCCTGACCATGTATCCAGGGCAGCAAAGTCACAGGAACTAATTGCATGTGCACTTCAACACGTGCTGGGCTGCAATGTAGAGATCAGAATTAAATTTGTCCCAAAACCAGTAAGAAAAGTTTCCAAACCAAAGAAGTCACCATTTAGTTTGTTGAGCTGTTCTGGTAGAAAGCAAGAAATATCACTTTCAACAATGAGTGATGATTGTGAGACTGAGACATCTGCAAGGATAGAAAGCTCTTTCAAGATTTATTCATCTCATCATGCTCAGAAATTATCACCTTTCATTGCACAATTTGGTGATAAACCACTTCCAAAAAATCATGACATAAAAGCAACAACTGTTAGGAAAACAGAGGATAATGTTCAAGGTGCTGAATCAGTAGCAACCGATGGACAAATTAACTTGCAAAATGAAAGAAAGGTTGAAACATACTCTTCAGGAAAACTAGGTGAAGCGAGTGAATTTAGTAGTGTGCCAGAACCTGAAATTCAACCTAACTGTTTCCCAAAGAAACTAAAGTTTCAAAGGAAATTATTTTCGTCTAATACTGCTCATGCGATCTGCCTGAGAATACAGCAGCAGAACAAATCAGAACTATCTATTCCTGACAAGGAAGCATCTGAGTCATATTTTTGCATGTATGACCCTTATATTCTAAATTCCAGCTCAGCTTCCCAGTTCACCTGCAGTTCCAGAGAAGAGACCATGTAAGTGTGAATATGATATATTTTGTGGTATTCCAATCTGATTCTATTTCTTATTTGAATTTGAGATATTAATAAATTTATGGTGCTAAATCTATTACATCTCAACCATTCTTCACCAATCCATATATTTTCGTGCTTAATGGGTATTTATTACTGCACCTTTTCACCCTTCAAATTGATTTATTTTCACTTTGCTATGTAACTCAACCTGTTTAATCTTGAACTACAATTTAACGTTTCATTGCATTACCAATCAACAAAAATGAAGTCTCTTCCAGGTATGGTTTTCTCTAGCAGCACCTTTATCTGAGTATGTACAGATCTACCTAAAAAAGTAATTGTTGTTGGCTTTTACCCAATAATTTATGCTATTATATTAATTACAATTTACAAACAACCTAGCATTTTTTTGTCATTTCCTCATGCACTTCTTGACCATGACTTTGCTGATTAAATCTTTTTGTTCAATTTCATAAATGAATCAGTCATACATATAAACCCAAGAAGTTCTTGTGAAGGAAATATAAACATGGTGCTTGAAGTTATATCTGGTTCTAGGCACATTACCTAGTATTTTTTTACCATCATACAATTTTACTCCCCTGGCTTGTAAAATGATATAACAAAGTATACAAGTTAATTATGTTCTTTGACTGTTGTAATTCATGTCATAGTTGATTGTTATCTATTTAGTTTATACAGTAATCTGTTGGTGTTTGGACATGATAAGTTGAGATGGCAATGTTTGCTTGTTGATAAGATGTGGTTTCAGGATAGAATAGAATGAATACATGACTTATAAATATAACCTATAGAAATGTTGGTGGTGGACATAGGTGGAAGACTACCTCTAATAAATATTTATGGATGTAGGGGAATTGGAAATAGGAATATTTTAAAGGTTGTAATGGTTGAATTGGTAGTATGACTCATTAATAACTATTGAAAACTAATGAATAGGTTTTGTGTAGTCATAGTATTGATCCTCCCAATTGCAATAGACATGGTTCATGAAGTGGCAGATGATTTTTAATACCGAAGTCTGCTACAGATTGAAAAGATTATGAATGAGATTATGAAGAATAAATAATTTTGATTTAAGTTGTTTCCAGTGGCCAGTCTTGCTTCCTGGGGTAAATCTTAAGACAGTTGATGCCTTCAAACCACTGTCTACTACAAACAGGTTACATATTTAGCTACAACAGAAACTGCACAAGCTCAATTTGCTATTTCAGCTACAAGTTTGATCACAAGCAGAATATTCACAAATTAAGTTCCATGAGATCACTCGGTAATTTCATGAATTTTAGCACTCACTGAAATATGTTGACGTTCCTGACTAGTACTGTAACGGACCATCATATTTATCTGGACAAAGTTCCATAAGGTTTCTCTCTATTTATAATCATATAAGGAGGTCCATCTAAAAGATGCCAGGTACGAACTCTAATAAACCAGTGAAACTTTTTAAATGTGGGTTCAAGATTTTTAATAACTGCAAGCACATATCTTCAATAACTCTTGGAAGTATTAGGATGCATCCAATTAGGAGACTGTATACAAGTGCTGGCATAAGATTAGATCATGACTAAAACAGAAGTGGCTCCAAATCCAGTGGCTAGGACATGATACTTGTAAACTGATAATTCATGTGCATCTTTCTGTTGAACTTTTAATTTTGAAACATCAATCCATTTGGTGCCATTAAGGAATCAATCATTTAGCAGCTACTCACTCGAGTCATTTTATTTTCTGCAAGTTCCTGATAGTAGTATTCTTTTGACACTGCAATCTTTTTTCTTTCAGACCTTGCAAAGAATCAAGGCTTAGATCAAAACTGTTCTGTTGGAGGATGCCCAAGCCCCAAGTCCTTGACTAGAGAGGTGCTTGATGCTTCTTAACCTACATCCAGTGAAATAAAAGAGCATTGGTATCATAGATGAGATGTTCTGCTTCATACAATAGTTGCAGAATCTATCCCAAGAACATTGAATGGTCATCAGCCAGATGTGGATCATTTTTGTCTTCCCAATTCTACAGTGATTATCTACGTACCCTTGTTCTGCTGTCTACCTACATTCACAATAAGCAGCAGCACTACAAGCGAAAACCGAGAAAGTCTAATTTTATCTGGCATTAGCTTCTAGTTAGCAGAAATTATATTATGATAAATGTGATTTCTTTGATGGCCCATTTTGTCTCAATGTTCTGGAGGCATCATAAGCTGTGTAATATAATTGATCTGAGATAAATGAACAGCATCTTATCTAAATTGATCTCTTTGTACAGAGATGAAAGGTGCATCCATCATTGGAGTTTCTGTTTGCTCATTGGATCTCTGTGACCAGTCAAATGTATTAGTGCCTTCTGCTAGTAAGACACGATTACAAACTGTTGTTTAAAGGTCAGGAAAACTTATCTGGGAAATCAATGTGTATAATTTGCTGTTCTTAAGCTCTGATCATTGTATTCTTGCTGAGGGGAATGGCTTCTTTGCTGCAGGAAGATGCCTGATTTGTAGAACAAATTTTTACTCAATTTCTAAGGGATTCAAAATCCTTTTTCCTACTTAATTTTGACCAAATATTTTACCGGATGATTTTTTTTATTTTGTAATTTTGAAATTATATTCTGAAAAATAATTACTAAAAATATGAATTTAATTTTTTTAAACAGTCTCTCCCTTATGGTAGAAAGATGAGTAGATTGCTCCTTCAACATCTGTGTGACCAAGATAACAAAGTTGAACCGGAACGATCGATTCGGTTCGGTCTTGAAATCGAACAATTTACGGTTCATTTGGACCGTTCTGTACACTAAACCGATTCAGGTCGTCCCAAGACGATAAAAGCCGAGGGCGAGACTCGTGTGTCTTTGGCCGAGATACAAGCATAGAAGGGACTTTCGTTATTGGGTCGATTTGTGGGGTCCTGTGGGAACCACTCACAACAACCAATAGCGATTAGACGGGCTGCGAACCGGAGGGGGATATGAAGGCGATGCGATGATAAGAATTGATGGAGGAGGATAGCGAAGGGGATAAATCGGAGGGAGGAAGAGGGGGTGAGAGCTGAGGAAGCGATGCATTCGCACGCCGCCCTTCAATCCACCGCCACCGTCACACCACCACGGCCTCTCATGGCCCTCCACCGCCACCACCTCGCCCCTCTACCCAGACCCCTCTCCTTCCCGCCGCCCCCAAACCCTAATCTCCGCACACGACTTGTCCTATCTCCCGTTGGTCTTGGCCCGAGGAAGCCTCGCGCTGCCTCTGGAATCACGGCCTCCGCTGCCGCAGCCCCGGCGCCCGTGGATTCCGACGTCAGGGACGCTCTCGAGCGATGCTTCGCGTTGTCGACCGAGTCCGGCCCGCTCTCCTACTTATCGTCCCCCGCCACTTCCGGGGCCGCGATGCCGGTAATGAAAGGGGGCAAGTATGGGGCCTTCGGCGCGGTGACGCTGGAGAAGTCGAAGCTTGATCTGTCACAGAAGACGAGGAGGACTAGTCCGGAGGTATGGGAATAAAGTTTTAGGGTTCGTGCTTCTTTTTATTGGAAATCGGAAAATAAGGGTTTTGTTCCATTAGCTTTTTAGGTTCTCCATGCCCTCTTTTTCCTTGTCGATGAAGAAGGATTGCCTACTCCCTACGCAAATCCTTTATCCTTGTTTTCATGCTTAAGGGAACACTCAGGTGTTGCTCATAGTTGAACCAGTCCTTTCCTTTTGCTCAATGAACTTGGCACCAACTTGGGAGGGTTGAGACATATTGATCTTCGATAAGTTTGTTTCTTTCCATAACTGTTGTTAGTTTAGGTAAGTGCAACTAATTTCTAGAATTGGACGTTGGAAACAAGATTTTTTGGTTAAGTCTGTTGTTCTATCAAACGTTAACCATCTGAATGTTTGCAATGATCTTTAAGATTCTCTCCGTTTCTCATTGACATTATAGCTGTACAATTCTGCCCATCACAGACCTCTCCCATCATGCTTCTCAATTATTTATTGATGACAGGCCCCAACTATTAATGCGTGCTTGATCCACCCTCTAATCACCTGTGATATCTCAACGTGTGTCATAAAGGATGGATGGATTGTAAATGGAAGGAACCATATGAATTGGAGGGAGAATTTGGATCTCACAAATTTAATAGGATCCAAACTTTTAGGAAAATACCTTCTCTTCTTCTGTTAAGTTTTGAGTTATATGTGTTTACATATGCAGAGTTTCTCCAATTGAAAATTTCTCTAAATGTCTCAAGCTACTCACTTGTTGCCAGCATAACAGTGGCAGTTAGCACACTATCTAGGATTGTTCAGAGCATCTTAACCTGCAGCAGGTTGGTTCTGACTGCATGCGGCTAGATGCTTGTAGCCATCTACTGTTTGACACCAGAGCATTCTGTGAAACTGAAAATATTAGTTGAAAGTGTTACATTAGAATAATTGACTTGTGTCAAGTTCTATATTTATGCCTGTTGATTTAATTGGTAGATACATTTTGATAACATGTTTAGATTTTTCTGTGACCATTGTCTTTCTATTCTAGCAATTTTCACCAACATTAACTTGATTTACAGTTGGAGAGCGTAGTTGTATTGTGTCATTAAATCTGATTCATAGTCTTGTGGTGTGGAATGATAGTAAAATTGACTTGTTTGGACATGGTTGGATCTAAATCCTCTATTACTTTTCTTCACATGCTTATCCTTTTCCATTATTTGGGTGCTGCAGTTAGCAGTTGGTGGAGGAGGTGGCGATATTGGAAAGAAAAATTTCCATGGTGGGGGTGATGGAGGAGATGATGATGGTGATGATGATGATTACTTTGATGATTTTGATGAAGAGGATGATGGTGATGAAGGTGGATTATTTAGAAGACGCATGGTTCTTCAAGAGGTTTGTAAAATTTTTTATGTTTGTTAAGTGTAAATGTACTTTCCACTCTTACTCTTTCCAAAGTTTCTAAACAGTCTTATCTTCTATCTGTATTGCAGTAGCAGTCTTGTTTCCATTAAATAGAATCTAGTCTCCATATCTTTATTTTCAACATTGGGAGGAGCCTTGTGTGCACGTTTGGCCTTTTTCAAGAGCAAATGCACTTTTTTTACCTGCATAATTATCTCTCAGGCTAATGTGGACTTCATTACTACACTGTCTTCAGCTTTTTGACAGGAAATTTGTAGATGCTGTGCTTCAGGAGTGGTACAAGAGCATGATAAACTTGCCTGCTGGTCTTCGACAAGCTTATGAAATGGTATATTTCTTATTCCCACCAATTGGTTGATTGAAAATGTTTTCATGATATGTTAAATGGATGGCCATTGCAGGGATTGGTCAGTTCTGCTCAAATGGTCCGGTTCTTGACAATGAATGCAAGACCAACTGTTTCTAGAGCCATATCTCGAACACTTCCAGAATGGTTATCTAGGGCTTTCGTTGGAAGGTAATGCGTTTTATAACTTGTTTCATGGTCAACAAAGATATTGAAGCTGTACAGAAGACTGTAGTATGTTTTTCTTTTGTGCTTATAATTCATATCAAATGACATGTTAAAATATGTACTAGAATTTGTAGTCATCAAAACATGATCTTCTACATTTAGTTGGGGCATTGCAACTTGTTGTAAATTTGTGACCATTCTTGTGGTTGTTTGCAATGGATGTGATTAATGCATTCTAATCTGTTGATCATCATTCTAATGTTCTACAGTTCATGTGTGGAAAAAAAAGGTTCTAGACCATGGATCAGCTTGATTATACCTTGCCACTGGAATTGTAGGATCACATGATGAAGAACGGGTTGCAGATCATGAAATAGTTTTAGATTTTTTACTGGCATCCATGGTCAGTGAGCTTCTGTTTCAAAAACATTATGCTTGTTATCTTCAATTATGCTCTAGTAAGGTGAGGTGGGTAGAGGTGCAGAGCAAGGTAGTGAGAGAAGAGAGATTACTGGAGAGAGACTACAGCAAAGGCTACACTGATGTTTGAATTTTCAGTGACAATAAGTTATTGTCAATTTGGCTTACTTTCTCAAGTGTCTCCGTGGAGTGCTTTCTAAGAAATCTGAATAGTTACAAATCCTTCCTGTTAGGCCACTATGACATTGTGGTAACTGAATAGTTACAAATTAGGTGTCCCATGACAAACTTAATTCGTTGTTCACTTGAACCTGAACAACTTTTAAAAGGAATATTTTATAAAATGCATAAAAAGTTCTCCAAATACAACTATATGGGGATAAATGCTGGTGGCTTACTAAAGTCAGTTTTCATCCTATGTATGTTGGAGCCTAAGCCATTGTCACTTATCAGTTACTACTATGATATGCAGGATGATTGCAGATCCATCTTTCTTGTATAAACTACTCCTAGAAGAGACCATGACTTGTGCCTGTTCCCTTTGGTGGGAGTTTAAGAATCGCAAAGAGAGGTACAATTTCAATCACACGTGAAAGGCATTGTCATTTATATATTTTTTTTAATTTCCCTGATATATTTAATAGGATGAAGCAAGAATGGCAATTGGCACTTGTTAATGTCCTTACTGTAATGACTTGTAATGGAATAATGGTTTGGAGCCTTGCACCTTGTCGTTCGTATGGGAATACATTCCGCTTTGACTTGGAAAACACCATCCAGAAACTTCCAAACAATATCTTCGAGAACAGCTATCCTATGAGGGAATTTGATTTGCAGAAAAGAGTTTATTCGTTCTTCTACAAGGCTGCAGAATTTTCTCTGCTTGGATTAACTACAGGATCAATTCAAGGTGCTTTGTCAAAAGCTTTTGCAGCAAAGAGGGATGGGAGGTTTGTATATAATATTTATTTTCTTATGTATTATCATCCCTACAAATGTTTGTCAAAGCTTGACCTTGACATTTACTCGAACTTAAATTTGCAGTAAGTTGTCAGTGACCATTCCTTCTGTAAGTACCAATGCTCTTGGATATGGTGCCTTTTTAGGACTTTATGCAAACATGCGGTATCAGCTTTTAAATGGACTTGATAGAGCTATGGTCAACCACTTTGATGTTCTTGGGGTTGCAATCTTTTTCAGCACAGCATTGAGGTACATCCTTATCTAACTAATGGACTTGGCAACTTTTATTAGGTTTTATCTTTTTAAAGCCCTTATCAAATAGTTTCTTGATTTTCTCTTGTGACTTCCTTATCATACCATCTTTACTATTGTTATCTGCACAACCAACTAGTTGGTGGTATTTTAACAACCTGGCTGCTGGTGTGCTGGTCTTTTTCTATATTTGTCTTCTGTACATCCTTTTCAACTGATCTCCAATGAAACATTCTCTCCGCTGAATTTTGAAATACTACTAAAAGATGCCTATAGACCTAGACTGCTTGCTGTTAGTGGTAAGATGTTCTCCCTTTCCATTATTGCCAAATCTTGCATTCGGAAATACATCTTTCAGGCACACAATTCTGAGCATATTTTGAGTAGAAAGGACTCGGATCTTGTAAGGTCTTTTTGTTGAAAATTTAGTACTGTTTCTGAACTGTATTGGCACAGAGAAAAAGGAGGTGACATCTAATCCCTATTTTGCTGGTTTGCATAATCCCTTGATGTCCACATTATTCAACATTTTGCACAGAAGAACAAGCATTTTTTTACTTGCACCTGGTAATATGTTTTATGTTGACCTATGCATTATTTAGCTTCCAATTACGGATTGAAAATTGGAAAGTCCATCTAGATAATGTGGTGTCATAGCTCAATCAAAGCTTTGATTGTGTCGATCCTGTCTGGTGCGTATGTGGTTCAGGTTACAATTTATTCTAATTAGTATTTAATGGAAATGCAAGATTAGTTTGCTATAGTTGTTAGGTGAAGGTCCATGGCAGACTTGAGTCACAGGTTCTTCTGGTGCAGATGAACAATGTGGTTTGGTTTCTGACAAAGTCAGCATGTTTGGAAACTGTGTCTGGATTTAATTCTTTTTTACAATATGTCCAGAAAAACAAAATTTCCACTCATTTACTCCGACCACTGTTTATCGGATGATGGCATGTAGCATCTTTGTTATCGACTTGAGAATGGTCATGCTTATATATAGTGATATTTTCTGTCTATAATATTTTCTTTTATTTACTTTTAAAGCATGTTTGGTTGGACTATATACTTGAGAATGTGATCCATCAATCCTGTTTTATCTTGGTCCAAAACCTTGATGCCAATATTGAGTATCAACTGCATGTTGTTCCTTAAAGGTTGGCGAACATAATATCCATTAAGATTTCATGAATGAATAATAATTAGTTACAATATTCTTACCTAGTTTGTAATTCTATTTATCTCAGGCAAATAAGTGCCTGCATGAACATGTAAGGAGATATACATATGACTGAACTACGAATTTGTTGTGATGCATTTTTTGAGCTCTGCTGTTTCTTTTTTTTTTTATATTGAACTTGGTCATCAATTTTTATTTGCGTTTGGCCAAACTGGCTGATCAATGACTACAGATAGATATCACGTGCCTGTTTGTTTCATCTGTGTGCAGAATTTTGAATACCCAGCTTGGAGAGACATCAAGGCTTGCTTGGCTTGGGGTGGAAGCTAATCCTCTACTCGAGTCGGAGAATCTGTTGAAAGCATACAACAGACCCTCAGATGCGGTGGAGAGCTCATCATCCAAATGGTTCATCTCCAAGAATGCCATAATCTCTGGCCTCGGATTGCTCGGCCTCAAGCAAGGAAGCGGTGAACCAGAAGCCACACCCCCAAAGACACGTCGCAAAAGAATCATTAGGAAAAAGGTCAATGCTGGTTCACCATAGTGGGCAAACAATCTTCTCGCAGCATGCGGTTTACTCTTCTATAATGCAAATGAAGTGAGCAGGTCATCCATCCACATGGCTTTTATTATCTTCAGATAGAAGAAGCCGTCCAAACAAGATCGGGCCATGATTCTTTTGGCGATTAGACAGACTTAACAGATCCAATGAGCAATAAGATAGTGAGTGCCCCTATTTCTTTGTGATAAAGAGAGGAATTAGTATTTTGTTTTTGTTTTATCCTTTCATTTCCAAGAACTACGAGTCTAGGAAATTTTATCTGCTGCCTTCCTTTTTTTATTTTATTTTAAGGAATGTTATTCATTTAGTATATGCAGGTATTACTGGCAAGAACTTGTGTGGATGAGCTCTGTGCTGTCGGTCAACAGAAACATATGTTCGAAAACCCAATGTTTTGTTGTTGTATCCATGGCATGTTATTTTGTGCGTTATCAAAGTCAATCTGAATAGCAATCTGGTCAGGCGTTCAAATCCTTCGTGTTCTTAGACGGGAGGGACTACAGCACCTCGAAATGGTTTGATACCACTAACGAAGCCTTCAAATCCTTTTGTATCTCTCTCACGAAAAGGGGAAAACGAATCGGCGAACTGATATCATTCCCATATCTAAGAGCATTTTGCAACGATAACAGCTTTGGTCTGCGGGAAACAAAGTCTTTTCATGAATAAAGCATAGGGGATCTACGAAGTACCTTACCATACATAGTTATCCCAACGATGAAATCAAATAGTATCCTTCTTCCTGAGTTAGACAACACGCATAAGGTATCACTAGTTTTCCTTCTTTTTGGCATCTTTGAGCTGCCCCCTCTTCCGAACGTTAATGCAGAAGCCCAGCCGCCACTGGTCGATAGCAGACTCTGGTATCACTGACAGCAGACACCATATGAGGGAATGGGGCCAATAGGGTGTGCATCGTGGTTCATAGCCTATCCATCGCAAAGCCGCACGGGCGTAAGTGTCTGCTGATGGCACAAAGAAGGACGATTTCCTGATGGATGCCATCTTCGTTGCCACGTACAAAGGCACCTGTGCGCGGGCGGGCAAACACACACACAAGGAGATAGCAAGTCATGCCCTAATTATCATCATAATTGAATGAAATGATCTTCTTTGACGCGAAACAAAAGGATACAAAACACCACTACACAACGTTTATAAAGAGCGAACCATTTGTACAAGATGTTGAGGGGCATTTGGATGTAAGTATAAATATTTCCATTTACAAGAGAAACCTAACGGCATTGATAAAACAACATACTTTTAATCTTTGTTGAGATATCCAGATTGGTTTAGTGCATTGTTGCATAAGTAATAGGCATCAGTCCATATGTGAGTGTCATGTCATGTATACTATTTGATGTAATATTTTTTTAGAAAAAAGAAAACAACAACATACTTTTACCACCATGCTACAATTATCTAATGTGTTTCTTCCAAAGTACTTAATTCACAATGTATCTCGTGCAGATAACATTCCAGAATAATCCTAAATATGTAGCTAGAAATGCAAAATAACTGGTCTCCCTAACCTATCCAGAGTGAAAAATATTTAAGTAGAAACACAACTGAAAACAAAAAAAAAAACACTAACATGCATATAATATAGCAGAAATGCAAGTCATTTGAAGTATTATATGCTTCGTGAGTGAAAAATCTGTGGTAAACTATCATAACTTGAAAGAAAATAGAAAAGAAAGTCATTGGGCAGACACTAATCCACAAGATTCAGAAACTTACGAAACAAATCAAGTTTGTCTACCTGACACCAACTAATAAATGTTATCATGCAAATAACAAACAACAATTGTGAGTTTCTAATGTACGTACACCGATAGATTCATTTAAAAAAAAAAGAGTGAACCAAGGAAATGCCAAAAGTAGTTGAAAAGACAGTTAACTAAAACAATAAAATGCTGTAGATTGGCAACCACTTGTCTAGTTATCTTTTACATTTTGATTTGGTTTAATGATCCACCACCTGATTCCCTATTACTAAAAGATCATCAAGAGATACAAACAGCCATACCCACATTTCCATGAAGCTTTTATGATTTTACCATCTAAAACCAAAACCAGAAAAGGAGAGAAAGCAACAAAGTAGAACATAAGAAACATGGCACTTGGGGGTTGGATAAAAACAACGGAAAGCTTTTAGTAGTTCATCAAATTCTAGTTTTAGATGAAAACTTGGGATGAAAACTCTTGTTTTAGATGAAATATATACTACAATCTGCTCCAAAATAGATCCATGAGAAATTAAATGGCCCTCTGCAGAGTTCAGTTGGATCTGTATAACTTTTGATTTTCTTCATTTTAGGAAGGAACAAAGAACTTCAGGAAAGAAAATGACTGGGGAAGCTTTTGAGTCAGAGACGGATCTGTTTATGCAGCCATTTCATGCCAATAATCTTTTTAATAAGTAATCTCTTATTTTCTCTGAGAGTATTAGTATTGTCTACTGAACAGATTGAGACATTTTGATTTTCAACCAAATCTTGAAATGGGTTGTCTACCAATCTATCCGTCAGAACTAACCAAAACCAAACCAATTCCAAGTTTTATCCTCCATTAGAACTCAGACCAGCTGAAAATTTAGATCATAGTCCCACCATGTGCAAAACATCCTTTCGTGGCAATGACATAAGCTTCAAAGTTCATTCTGGTCACATAACATGTCTTGATATTATAAAAATATCATTTGAGTTACTTCATAGTAGAATGGAACGAGCCATATCATAACCTTAATTGAGTCACAAGAGTTTTAAGTGAAGTCACCTGAATCCTACTTCCCTTTCTTGGATGTTTAAGAAATCTAGTAAGAGCAACTACAGAATGCTTATACAGCAAAAGCAATGATAGCAAAAAAAAAAACGATAGCAAAGAGATTTGGAAAATTAAATCACAGCATAGAACACATTCAGAGGCATACCATATCATCTACAAATAAGGAGGATAGATGGACAATCAAATTAGTTAAAACAAACTTAAAAAGGTATTTGTCAAGAATATATGAAAGATATGAAGAGAATATTACCTGGCACTGCACATCTATCCCCTTGCCCTTATATTCAACATACAGGCATCTTGAGAATTGATCGATATACCTGAGAGAAAATATAACGGAGTCTTATACGCTGAACAAGAGAAAAGAAAACGACTTGCTCCCTATAGGATCTACAAAGTGTCCCAGTAAGACAAATTAATTGTTGACATAAGTCCAATAAAAGCAACAGGTTACTAAAAATCAGCCTGTCAAATGCTCCAGCCTGATATAAAGACCTATATATGAATAGCTAACTCAGCTTAGATTTTTCCCATGGTAACCGTGCATCATGAGGTGATCGATGATGGGCTAGAGCTCCCGGTTAACATGAGATCAAGCAAAAGAAACAAAGATAGAAGCAGTTTAACCCACATGAAAGGGGCTGTCCATGCACTTACCTTCGCGATTAGAAACCTAGGAAAACAATATGGAAATAGTTTGTGTTTTCATTGTGAATTTGTCAAAAAACCGGAGCTCAAAGTTCAGGTTAGACAAGCCCCAAAAAAGGTAGCTTTTTTGGGGTGGCATACTAATCAAAGCTATCTGCAAGACCAACACGGGACCAATAGGGTATCAGAGAAATCCCTTCTTCCTTCCATTTTAGCTCAGATCTCTTATTTATCTTCGTTTTACCAGTAATGTCTATTTTCATTAGAACACACAACAGCCCACATCCTTCAGTTAACCAGATCTGCATCAGATAAGTCATAATCTCGAGCACAAAGAGGGCAATAATCCATCCAAGAAACAAGAAAACGGATCTTACGCTTTCGTGGCGGCGTACACGGCATAGAGCGGATCGGATGGGATGACGATGGCCGCCCCCGAGCCGATGTTCACGATGGCGCCCCTCTTCCTCTCCAGCATCCCCGGCAGCACGGCCTGGGTCATCCTCGTCACCCCCTCCGCGTTCACCTTGATCAGGTTCCCCATCAGCTCCTCATCCACCTCGTGGAAGAACCTGGCGTACGGGTAGGAGACGCCGGCGTTGTTGACCAAGATCCCGACATCGAGCCCCTGGATGGCCGTCCGGAGACGGGCGACCCCGTCGGCGAGGTCACCAGCAAGGTCGACGACCACGGTCTCGACGCGGATGGGGGGGTCCCGGGCGGCCCGGACGGCGTCGGCGACGTCACGGAGCTTGTCGGGGCTGCGGCCGACGAGGACGAGGTTGAGGCCCCGGCGGGCGAGCTGGAGGGCGAAGGCCCTGCCGATGCCGTCGGTGGAGCCGGTGACGACGGCCCAGGAGCCGTAGCGGCGCAGATCCTTGCCGGGGCGGAGGAAGGTGACGAAGGCCCAACTGAGGGTGGCGAAGGAGAGCCTGAGGAGGGCGAGGACGCCGACGGCAGCGGCGAGGAGGAGCCATGTGGGTAGGGTTTGGAAGTGGTGGTGGAAGGAGCACGAGGCCGCCATCTCTTCTTCTTCTTCTTCTCGCACACGCTTGAGAGAGCCAACGGGGAGGAAAGAGGGGGAGTTCGGGTGGTTGCAGAGACGGACAATGGAATTGAAAGCGTTTAACCGACCGTCGAGTAGGGGGATCGGCTTCGGTTGGATCAAAATGTAGAAATTATGATGGATCGGATCTTCTATACATACATATATCCAAACCCGTTTACATCCAAGTTATTTAATTCGCCAATCGGATTTTGGATCCGTTAATTGGTCACCCCATCACAACTCCACATTTAGAAGACGCTGCAATCGATATATGATGGATGTGGTCAACGCTTACAAGCATCTCAAAACTACACACTGTATACATTCTATCGAACAGAAAGCGTGCATTAGTGATGAGTTACTTGTCTCGCTCCTTTGGGTTGATAGATGTGAGACGCCATAGAAGGCCACCCACAAGATTGTTCAAGGAATGTGAGGCCATCGGAACAATGATGCTGGAGGAGATGAGCGTTGCCGCACCATAAGCAAAGCCAACAAATGTTGCCCTGAACACAATCCCTCAAGATGGATTAGCCTTTGCAAGAGATGATAAAAATGATAGCGGAGTTCATATGATGTAAGATTGGAGTAACAAGATTAAGAGAGAAAAATACCAGATTGCGAAAGAATATCTTCGGCCGCTACCTAGATGAAGAACTCCAAAAATGGCTGCTACTGCCAAAGCACTTCTCCAGTTGAGTCCAAACAGCGGCATTAATGCCCCGCGGAAAAGCAACTCCTGATATTAAGTTACGGTTTAGGGGTTTATAGATACAACAAGAATCTCACGAAAACATGTTTAATGGATTGATGGACTAATTGCACCGAGGTGCGTAACTCATGGCATGTGTTTGGTCCAGGGATACATGAGAGTTGAGAAAAATGGAACCCATGATCGCCATGGCGATCAGTGAATTCACTCGAGGACCAGTACAGAACAGATACACGACACTGAAGAACTTGATACACAACATCATAGAAGGTAATTTTCGTAGGAGCTGTGTTACCTCACTAATTCCAGGTAAAAATGCCACTAGAATGTAATCCAAAGGCTCGAGCGAACCGAGTATCTGAAAACCAAAGATGGAAGCTTAAGATTCAGTTAAAATAAATGAAGATGACGAATTTTTTCATCTACGATGACAATCTCTTTCTTCCTCTTCTAAACTGTCACAATATGAACATATGCTAAAATTAGTCTTGCAATTCCTATATCCTTTTAATTTCAGGCATCTCAACAAAAAAAAGGAGGCGTAACAACAAGATGAGTATTAGGAATCTTTTTCAGAAAGACCAAAGCACACCTGTTGGTTGGCAGCTTCACTTGATTGTGAAAAGTCTGGCCATGTCTTCAATAATAGGTACCGGCTAGATGATACCAAGAGAACAAGTCCCAATATCAATTCAAGATGCCACATCTCAAAACCAACTGCAGCAAAGCCACTCATCCGTAAAAGAGAAAACAAAGTAAAATCTCTAAAACAATCAGCAAAAATGCATGAAGTGGAATCTCTGCGGCAGAAGTACCTAAATACAGTATGTTCCCCTTCAGGAGGCTGATATATTTGACGCATCACTCATAATTTGCAACTAATTGTTTGGGCTAGGTTCTAAGGTCGTTAAACATTCAACTTCACTGAATAATTTTTTGCCCGAAATCAGAACGACTGTCGTAACATGAAGAACCCAATTCTAAAATTACCAAGTCCTAACTGAAGCAAACAAGGATAGCAACTCTGTCAGATAAAAAGGTAATCTTTCAATATAGAATGAAGGTTAAAATGAATATAACGTATTGGTCAAAGATACAGAAGCAGCAGCTTCGATCTTAGATTTTAATATCACTAGAAAAATCTCACCCCAGTATGCTTATCACTACAGCCTTTTGGGGAACCTATCTTCTTTTTAATTATTTCAATGGTTTTAGAGTAACATCGTCGATCAAAATAAAGCAAAAAAGGAAGACAACATGTATTAGGCTTCTATATGCAAGGAACAATCAGCCTCAAGCACTTACATGATACTTCAGAGGAGTCAAGTACTGCCCATCCTTCCACAGATGCAACATGGGCTGCCTAAATGTTGTAGTAGTTAAAGAAAAAGTTATGAATCATAGTGTATGTGTGAAAGAACTTGAAATGTTGGATATAATGCTAGTGAACTCTTTAAGAATAAATTGCATGGCACACATCTGAAAATTATGGAAAAGTAGAACTATAAGAGTAGCTGTCCATATCATTACATCCTGAAGATAAAACACTGGAAACCAACTAAAACATTAACTGGATCCTCTCTCAACATATAACAAGTAGAAGATTGCAAAGACATTATAATGACACCCCATGACTACTAAAAATGGTCAGCTCAATACTGCACCATGACAGCACCGATCTAAGATTGTGTCATATATCTTTTTTCGTTGTGTTTGGTTTGTTATGGTCAGACTGGAGCATACGTCATTCTATGCTAACATAGAACGTGCCAGTGAAAAAAGAAAATCACAGAAAGAAAGATGGTGTCCCATCACAAGAAAACTAATTGTTGTCTTGTTTTTGCTATTACAAGAGATGGATTAAATGTTAGTCCTTTAACTAACAAAAGAAGTGAACAACTTATGGAAGAAGGACCAGAAATTTATAGCAAAACAAGCTGAAACTACCTGTCGAATTGTTGCACCCAGAGCAAGCAACAAGCCAGATGTTATAATGCAGGCTTGAAGCACTTGACCTCTGGTGGGATATGAAGTTGAGCCATCGGCACCTAAATTATTGTTTGCCAATTCAATGCGATTACTAAAATCGGTATCATTGCCTGAAGTAGCTTCATCTGACATGTCCATAAAGTCTTTCGAAAGAAGTTCTTTTCTTTGCGTAGTCTTGGAAATTTTCCTATCATTTGTCAGTTTCTTCTCAGATTTCCTTGATGATGCAAAGGCTTTAAACTGCAGCCCAAAACCCTAAACAATTTCCATTGAGAACGGTGATCAAGTTGCCTGATTCATGAATCTGTTTCGAGTTATCATAATAGATAATACAAATGGTAGTCAAATGAACATAAAAGCAAATAATATGCAGAGCGATACTTACAATCTGTAGATTAGCAGGCAAAAGTTTCCTTGCCGGAGAGCAACTACGTCCACAATTCCTATCTAGCAGACCTGGCCAATTATTCTCTGCCATAAAGAGAAGCAAAGTGCCAACTCTAATGGACTACAGTGAAGCTGGATAACAAGAAATTTGTCCAAAGAAACAATGTGAAACACACAAAAAGACAGTTTGAGAGTCTCCATTCCCACCACTGTAATTGTATGGCAAGAAATTTGTACAGCCTTTTCCCATAAGCAGAGAGGCTGCTTGGACAATGATTCCACTCAGGTCGCTTAAGAGCAACCTTACCATTATGTGGAGACCTTGACAATGTGAAAAATGCAAAAAAAAAAAAAGCAGATCTCTCCCATAAAATTAAATGCATTAATCACATTGCTTCCATTGGGAGACCCAAATTTAGGAAATATAAACTCCATCAACCTAATGTCAAAAGATAGATCATAAAGCAACCCAAAGTATATCTTTCCTACACATCTGATGCTGTGATGATCTAATGGAGCTCATTCACGAGTTAAAGTAGCCTCTAGGGCACATTAAGAGCTTCTTTATGGAGCTCAGTCAATGCCTTGCAGTTTCGCAGGCTACAATTTACCACTGCCTCTCCTGTTTCCTGCGAATGCATCTAAACACAAAATCGAAACGCAGCACGTATTTAAGCCAAGGCGAAATCGGAACGCTGGTTCTGAAACTAAATCCACTACATCAAACACTACAAGCTTCAGAAAGAAAACGAACCTCGCGAGGGGAGAGACTGATGATGGCCAGTCGCACAAGCCGTCTCACATAGCATCACCATGGTAACAGCGCCCATCCTCCGCCAGTCTTCTTGTTCCTATCACAGTCGAAGCAAATTAACAGTCACGCGAGAAGAACTCAAGATTCGACGCGCCCGCAGGGGCAGATACCGGAGTCGCAGTGGCGATCGAAGGAGGAAACGAATATACTGCCGGTGATGGTGTGACCTTCGGACTGTTTCTGACCACAAAAAGACGGATTTTTTTCCAACCTTTTACACTAAACTCCTCCTCCTTTTATATAATCCGAGAAATTCTCTCTTTATTTTCAAGATTCTTATTTCCATTTTCCGCTAAAGGCCCCTTTTTCCCATACGATTTTAACAGAATACCCCTTCTTTCTCGATTGATTCACATCCCACCTGCTGTTGGTAGAACGAAACAATCTGCAGCAGAAGGGGACGATTCAGAGACTCGTAGGATTTGATGAACTTGCCTTGCGATCGATGCGTAGGTTTGTATTTGGAGAAAGCTGGAGGAAGAACAATTCACGTACCAAAGAAAAACGAAGAAACTTAACAATTCACCCACCAGAAATCACATTCATTCACATTGAAGAATCACAAGATTATAAATATATAAATGGAATCAGAAATCAGAAAGAAACATTACACATGAAGAACTTACTCGATGTTAAGCACAGACGTATCACATGTGAAACCTTCGAACAGCAAGCAAGCAAACAGATATGTCTTGTATAAGAAGAACTCGGAAAGCACAAAAGAAAGGATAAGGTTATCGTTGCTAAGTTGACAGAGACTACCCGCAGGCTAACACAGACAGGATGTTTGGATGACAAGCTACCTAATATGAGTATGCATCAACTGTCTTATGGAATAGCTCAGCTCGTCAACAGGCTATGGATAATTCTAGTCACCTAATATGAATATGTGCAGAAGCAGTTCAGGCAGTCCGAACAAGAAATAAGTACAAGAAAAGCCAAAGGAGCATGATAATATATCAGCTAAATCACAAAATGATTTCCTCTTCACTGAAGGAACCATATGGTCACATCTTCTGAGCACACAGGTTATCTCTTTCTGTTTCTGGTGCCCCTGACAGAACTTCCTGTATTCAAATTACTGAACATATGAATCCACTTGATCACCATGTAGCAACAGCCATGTAAGAAAACCTAATTATTTCCGTAAGAATGCGATAACAAGCAAGACATTATGACCGAACAGATAACACAAGATTTACAATGTTTGGATAAAGTTCTTAGGATCGTTAGAGCTTTACCTGTATTGGAGAACATTTTATTAAATCCACAATCGCAGCCATCATGACAATGTTTGGATAAAGTTCTTAGGATCGATAGAGCTGCTTTACCTGTATCGGAGAACATTTTATTAAATCCACAATCGCAGCCATCAATCGTAGCTGCATCACATTCAAAATAATTGCAACATATTTTATTAAATCCACAATCGCAGCCATCAATCGTAGCTGCATCATATTCAAAATAATTGCAACATAGCAAACTTGACATGGAAATAAGGAAAGCAGTCATAGTAGTAGAAATCCACAATCGCAGCTACCAATCGTAGCACATTCCAAGTAATTGGAACATAGCAAACTTGACATGGAAATAAAGAAAGCAGTCACGGTAGAAACCGACAATCGCAACTATCAATCATAGCTGCATCACATTCAAAATAATTGCAAGATAGCAGACTTGACATCGAAATAAAGAAAGCAGTCACGGTAGAAATCGACAATCACAGCTACCAATCTTGGCTGCATCACATTCCAAGTAATTGCAACATAACAATCTTGGCATAGAAATAAAGAAGTCACGGTAGGTAATACAATCAATATCTCGAAATCATTTGAAAGAAGTACAAATGACATAGAAAAGTACAAATGCCTTTTTAAGGCACTAGTTCATAAACCTGAGCATAAGTAGGATTAAGAAGCGATCAAAAAATCTTTTGTAGGAGACTCAGCCATACAGCAATTGTTACAGGGAATGACAACTTTTCAGCAAACCTGTAAACTAGTGGCACAACCTGTCCAACATTCCAACCCAAAAAAGGATAGCAATTATCCCAATTTAAAGTGCAGATCTAAACAATGTTGAACATGTTCCAGATGATTTATGCTAAGAAGAAATATCCAGTTCATAACTTGGTCATTCGAAAAGTAATTTGGATTCCCCGGCAAGGGATGTACACCATTAGAAATTGCAATTGACAGGATTAAAAAAGCTACAGAGAATGATAACATTTGATCATGGTCATACAACAACAATGTTACAGATGGATCAAATTGACATAGGCCTTCAAAATCATAGCAAAGCAGGGACCTACCACCCAGCTGAAGCTGTACCATTTTACAGATGAAGATTCACATGAGAGTTCAAAATCATACCATTTTTTAAAGGACCAATATCCACATGAGAGTTCAAAATCACTGAGAGTCCAACTCGTCCTTTCCATAGACCAAGGGGAATTCATCAAACTGCTCCGAGATATTGTATCGTTCTCCAATGATTTTCAAAGCTTGGAAAACCTTATACATAGAAGGCCTCTCCTTCAGTTGGGCAACCACACAACCAGAAGCAATCTTCAGTACCTGAATAATCTCATCATCATTGCCCTTTCCCCTAAGGGATCTATCAATAGCCTCATGAGTTTTACCAGCAGCAGAAAGCTGATTCACCCAATCCACCAAACTTCCCTTAAACACTTCACCTGCAACATCAGTGGTTATCTCAGTTGCCTTCTGCCCTGTGACAAGCTCCAACAGGACAATCCCAAATGCATACACATCCCCCTTGGTTGTCGGATCTGAATTAGTATCATACTCTGGGGCAGTATAGCCAAACTCCCCAAAATCTCCATTCAAGAACGGGCTTGAATTGTCTCCGTCTCCGGCTGCTGTTCTCACGAGCCTTGTCAACCCGAATTCGGTGATCCTTGCCTCGTTATCCTCATCCAGGAGGATGGCCTTTGAGCATAAGTTCTGGTGGAGGAAGGGGATCTGGAAACCATGGTGCAGCCAGGCGAGACCTCGGGCAGCGCCGATCCCGATCCTGACCCTCGCTGGCCAGTCGAGTGCATCATCCACCGACTCGAGAGCCGAGAAGAGCGTGCCGTTGGGCATGTGTTTGTAAACGAGAAGTCGCTCGTCCTCGACGATACAGAAGCCCAGGAGAGGAGCCAGGTTGGGGTGGCGGAGCGGTCCGATCCGCCCCATCTCCGCACGGAACTGCTTCTCGGGTAGCGGGCGGGATTGGAGGCGCTTCACGGTGAGCGCCGATCCGTCCGGAAGAACAGCCTTGTATGAGGTTCCTGTCCGCTGGCTCCCGGCGACGATGATGTTGTTGGGGTGGAAATCTGCGGTGGCCGTCATCAGATCCGCCAGCTTGACCTTCACGATTGGCTTCTGGAACAGCGAGACCGGAACGAGCCGGTTGTGCGCCGACCGGAGCCGCTCGGCCCACCACCCCCCGTCCTCCCCCCGGCGTCCAGCGGCCGCCCGCTTTCCGGACGGAGACCAGCACCGCCACACCACGTAGGCGAGGGTGAGCGAGGCGGCGGCACCGAAGACGCCGGCGGCGACGATGATGATGAGGTTGGTCCGGGTGTGCGACCGGCCGCAGTGGGAAGAGACGGGTTGGCCGCAAAGGCCGTCGTTGCCGTCGAAGGATTTGGCGTCGAACTTGTCGCCAAGCGGTGGGGGGATGGGGCCGTCTAGCTGGTTGCTGGAGAGATCGAGGTGGGTGAGGCGGTTGAGCTGGGAGAGGGTGGCAGGAATGGCGCCCTGGAGCTGGTTTCCGGCGAGCACGAGGGTGTTGAGGAACCTGCAGTTGGAGAGGGTGGGAGGGATGCCGCCGGTGAACTGGTTGTTGGAGAGGTCGAGGGTGACGAGATAGGGGAGCCAGGAACAGAGCTCGTTGGGGATGGGGCCGGAGATGGTGTTGGAGGAGAGGTCGAGGACGTTGGCGGCGCTGCAGTACTGGAGGTCGGAGGGGACGGAGCCGGCGAGAGACATGGACTTGAGGTTGAGCGCCAGCACGCGGTTCTCCTGCAGGTTCCAGCAGGAGACGCCCACGAAGCTGCACACGAAGCCCACGGTCGCGTTGGAGAAGTTCCAACCCAGGGTGTGGCCGCGGTCGAGGGACGTCTTAACGCCGGTGAGGCACCGCACATCGTCCTCCGCCGCGCCGCCCCTTATGCCGCTGTGCGCCATCATAGCCAATAGCATCAGCAAACAAATCAAGGTGAACTTCATCTTGAGCATGGTGCCGAAGGAGAGGAGGAGGATTTGGGGGGAGGAGGAAAAAAAAAATTGGGGGACGACGGTGGGGAAGAGACGGAAGTAGCCGCAGTACTTTGACTCCAACTGAAGTGGGGAAAAAGAAGCAATTGAGAGGCGAGAGATGGGGAAAGGGTGACTCGGGTCTTAGAGTGAGGATGGTGGCTCGGATGTGCTCCGAGATTTGTGCACTGAACAACTCTGCAAATATATATATATATATATATATATATATATATATATATATATCCGTCTAAATTAATTATGGCAGAGGTTTCCGTGTTTCTATGCAGTGTCATCTTGACACAAGTATACGTGGAAATATCGATGCATGTACATATATGTATACGATGGCTGAGTGGGTTCAGGATGATCGGCTGTCCCGGTCAAGTTGCGTCCGCGTCACTGACGTTATGTTATCAACAGTGTCATCCACAAGACCAACGTGGGTCAAAACAGCACCATTCTGTAATCTACGCCTCACAACATACCACAATAGAGACAACGAATAATACAAAACAAAAACAAAAGCAAATGCTCTTTAAAGTAGAAGTTTAATAACAGCTTTTCGGTAATATAAACTCAATGTTGACGTACTTGTGCTGGATTGAGTTGTCCACTATAGAGATGGAAGAAAACTCGCTATGGATCCAGACACTTGAATAATTAATCGCGTCGTGAATTAGAAATAATAAAATTTATTATTCATTAGCACTCTTATTCATTGTTCATCCCCTAGTCAATGCAGGATGACATTGGCTTGAGTATATTTACCCGTCTGATTCAAATGATAAAGTTATAGAAAAAAAAATGAATTTCTTACCGGGGTATTGATCAGATTAGAAAAAATGACCAGCATGCCCGATTCAATATGGTTCCGGCTACACTGGCACCCAAAAGATGGGGATTAATTGTACTAGTTTGATCGCGGACTTAATTCCTTTGAATTCTTCTCATATATCTCAAGTCATTACGTCCTAAAAGGGTTGGTCTGAAAAGTCAACAACGTGGCCGGGAATAAACTTAAAATCGTTGACTACGCTGTTAGAAATGTGGTGCAAGCATTCCAAGCAGTAGGGTCTCAACGTTTTCGTGGAAGAAGCACACGGTTGGTTGATAAATTCTGCAAGGAAGACTTGACCCGAATGAATGAGACCGACACGATTGTCGTTTCTCACTAGGATGCTTTCTTGGCTGGAGAAGTAAACGAATACGGTTGCTTCCCGCATGGATGTCGCAGTTTAATGAATTTAGGATCAAACATTAAGAGAAAGGCATGACCACACAAGAGAGAGTATGCAATCTCAAACATTAAAAAACTGGTCTAGAAATATTTATGTGATTCAGTGGTTATTTTTTGTTTTTATTCCCTCATTCTCAGCAATTGTAGCCCGTACTAACTTTGAGTTATATCAAGTTTTAAGAATCCTAATATGGATCAAACATTGGAAAACGAAATCCCCATTTTAATCAAGAGCAACCAAATGTTCTTTTTTGTTGTTTTAGTAAAATATTTTTCAGTCTCCCACTATCAGTTCCTAAACTACTAATCTGAATTCAATTGTCTCCTTCTACTAGATCTATGCATCTCCTCCCAAATTGCCATAACAATTTTTTCTCCCTTTACTTCTTTATACTTTAATTTTATATTATTAATAGTGGATGAAAAATTCATATAAAATAAGTAAAAAAAAATTTAGCATATCTTTTAACCTTTAAGGAATTATCAACACAATATTTGTCATCAAACTAGCCTTATATATATTCTGTGATAAAGGTATTAAGCATTCCAAAAAGGACTTGTATGTAAAAGCGAAAAAAAAAAAAAAAGGAAACAGAAGAGACATAAAAAATCAAATCAATATACCGAAAGTAATTATATTCATTTTTAGGACGAATACTTAAATCAAATGAGCCAACTAAAATTTATATAAAATTCTCACAAGATAGGAGCAACTGGAGCGAAAAAGAGAAGCTATGTCAAATCTACAGAACAAGCTATGCAAGGAAATAGAACTCACTATTTGTTGTTTTCTCCAACAACCACAAGCAAAGGAATCAGATTGAATCATAACCCTCGTAAAATATGATTCAGGGGAATGTAGTTTACTACAAAAGCTGATTTCATAAAAAAATTTCCTGGTGGAAAAAATGTGCGTGGTGGGCAGACTAAATCAAAATTGATCCCGGAATCTAAGAAATAGTAAGAAAAATGATCTATCCATATCCACCTAAAAACAATCTAGGATCTAAAATTGGTGTTGTCTCTTTGATCCCTGCTAGAAGAATTCATAATCCATTGGAATTAGTAACTCACGTTGTATCATGCTCCTATTTAAGTCCTTGGCTTTTAAATTCACGTCCATTTCACACCCATATTTAAATAACTCTGTTGTGCATATATATACGGATAAGATTCTCAAATGAAGCATAAAATATCTGTCAGAAATCCATTTCATTGTAAACTAGTGTCTCTTTCATCTCTTCCTTGTCATGAACTATACTAGCTGTGTAATCATGTCAGCATGCAGTAGCATTGGAGGCTAAGATACTGTCCATGAAATCTAATATTTTGAGGATAAGCTTCACTATGTTTAAAGGCTGTTCATCAACCATGATAACAGTATCAACTGATTCCTGTTATTAGTCAGATATATTCATACTCATAATCATAATTCTAGTGTAGTCATCAGAGGCATAATTGCGAAAATCTATGTGCTTAATTTGATAATTTTTTGGCCTTGAATATAGCAGTTTGAAATAGATAATCCATAAAACTATGTTCACATAATACTGATTAGTCTACTCTTTCCACACACACACACACACACTTGCACAAAAAATGTAATCAGATCATACTAGTGGCATTTACTAGGGTTTTTATTATTTCTATATTTGTCTAAATTGAGAAGTATGGTTTTCTATGACTATTGTCTTGAATCTAAAAAAATCATCATCATGGATGCAAAATATGGCGATCATAATAATTAGGATTAGATTTAGATAAAAACATACAATGAATAACTGTGCTAACCACTGGCTAATGGATTTTGAGAGAATCAATGACTGTTCTAACTTTTGGGTTATGGTGTCAGGATCTCATCTGAGAGCAGAGGAGATGGATGTCTGAGGAGTCTTTTTGACTTTGTAATACAATATATTTTTCATGAAAAACAGAAAAAATGTTTCTCTCCGACTACAAAAGTGATAAAAATAGGAATTGAACTTAGGAATTTGCAACATACTATCAAAATCTTTACCAACTAAATTAGTTGACACCTCAAGCTAAAATGTGAAGACTTCAGCTGAAATGTAAACTAAGTACAGCGATAATATATTAAAGAACTGCATTACTAATTCTCGACAGTGATAAGGCAAGATGTTATCAGCAACTATTGCCAAACTTGAAAAGGAAAAGAACCTCTTACCACAGGTCAACATTTTCGAGAGAAACTGCTGAGATTGTCAGCGTCTGTGTTTATCTAAGATTCTTGGATGTGCTTGCGTGATTGCATCTTCTCCGATCCCAATCTGCGAACAGAATCGAGAACAAGGTCAAACAGGAAAGAGGGCAAAAGAAACCGCACCTTGGCTTGGCGAAAGAGAAGATGGGTGTTATCATGACCCGAGCCTGATGGGTTAATTAGGCTATCAACTTCGTTTGGTCTAAATCACTGATCAAAATGTTTAAGCTGAAGTTGATAGTAGTACACTCATCAGACCCTTATAAGTCAATCTTAATCTTACTTTCGATGTGGGACTAATCAGAGGTGTTACAATTAACACAGATGTTAGAAAAGTCCTTTGACTCCGTCTACGAGTAGTCCTTTCCTACTCGAGCTCCCTCACCATGCCCAAATGTTAGGTCGACTCTGATACCAAATATCATGACCCGAGCTTGATGGGCTAAATAGCCTATCAACTTCGTTTGATCTAAACCATTGATCAAAATGTTTAAGCTGAAGTTGATAGTAGTACACTCATCAGACCCTTATAAGTCAATCTTAATCTTGTCAACTTTCGATGAATAGTAGTTCAAAAGGATGGAGATTCGGATTAGTCCCGGATCGGATCCGATTTACGTCAAGCGGAGAGCTAATAACTCATCAAGAAATCGATCGATGGAGCTTCAAGAAGAAAATAAGCAACAAACATATCGCGTCGTCGAAGAGGCAAGAGGGAACACATCAAGAAATGAATCACGTCCCACGATTCACCCCGAGCGAAGAGCCAGGAGGGACCTCCTTGGCGAAGAAAACGCTCAAGAAACCATCAAGAATCAAGAATATCCGGTTCACGCCCAGCGACGAGACAAGAGGAACCTCCAACGTCCAAGAAAAAGTTCGAGAACTCATCGCAAAAGAAGAAACAGGGAAAGAAACAAACCGCATCTTGAGGAAGTGAACACAGAATGCTTCACAGAAGACGGATAGAAGCTTGGATTACTCTCTTCGCCGCCGCTCGGATCGGAAAACGTCCAAGAACCCATCAACAAACCTGTATCGGCGAACGACGATGAGGATGAGAAGGAAAAGAGAAAGCAGCAGGCGGGTTTGATGGAATATATAGAGAGGCGATACGGTTTTCTCACAGAGAGAGAGAGAGAGAGAGAGAGATGAAGTGGGCCCCGTTTTGAGACATTTGGGCCGGATT